CTCACGCATCGGGATTTTCCCCTTTATTTGGCGCCGTCTTTGGATGCGGCCAGCAAAACGCGACGGCTAAAACCCTCGCGGCGACGATTTTGGGGGGTGGGGGTGGGGGGGAAGCTCCCAGTGCTCGGGAAGCAGCTCCCAAACTGGGATTTTTCCCTTAAATCCCTCTAAAAATGGAATGAATTAATTTTTAAAGTTTATTTTTTTCATCTCTTGGTTTATTTTTTTTTTAATTAGAAAGCAACACCGGCGATCGGTATCGGCGTGGGAGCGCGTCCGGATGCCTGGGGATGGGCGGTGCCGGTCCGGCAAGCATCATTTTTGGGGATTTTAAGGCTTTTAAGCCATTTTCAAAGGATTTTAAGACAAAAAAGTAGGATTTGGGAAAAAAAAAAACCCAACCAAAAAACCATAACGTGGTTGGGAAAGGGGAAAAGGGAAAATCTCCTCGCCGGCTGTTGCGGAGATGCTCGGCTCCGATTAATCCGCCTGCAAATATTTGGTTTCCAGGTGGGAAAAAAAGCTTTTTGACCCCGTGGTGATGATTCCTGATGTTCCAGCCCGGCTCCGGAAAATCCGTGGAAAACAGGAGAGGGGAAGAGGAAGGTCGCAGGAGCCGGGGTGCTGGGGAGAGGAGAGGTGGGATTCCTCGGAGCACCGTGATGCCGGGGGTTGGGAGGTCGTGGATCTGGATGGACGCCCATGGCGCTGAACTGGGCGTCTATGGGTCTGGATGGGCGTCCGTGGATCCAGATGGGTGTCTGTGGATCCGGATGGGTGTCTGTGGATCCGGATGGGTGTCTGTGGATCCGGATGGGTGTCTGTGGATCCGGATGGGTGTCTGTGGATCCGGATGGGTGTCTGTGGATCCGGATGGGGGTCCGTGGATCCGGATGGGTGTTTGGGGATCTGGTGGGGGTCTGGGGATCTGGTGGGGTGGATGGGCGTCCGTGGATCCGATGAGTGTCCATGGATCTGGATGGGTATCTGTGGATCCAGATGGGCGTCCATGGATCCAGATGGGTGTCCATGGATCCGGATGGGTGATGGGTGTCCGTGGATCCAGATGGGTGTCTGTGGATCTGGATGGGTGTCCGTGGATCCAGATGGGTGTCCGTGGATCTGGATGGGTGTTTGTGGATCTGATGGGTGTCTGTGGATCCGATGGGCGTCCGTGGATCTGATGAGGGTCTGTGGATTTGATGGGTGTCCGTGGATCCGATGGCTGTCTGTGGATCTGGATGGGCATCCGTGGATCCGATGAGTGTCCATGGATCTGGATGGGTATCCGTGGATCCAGATGGGCGTCCATGGATCCAGATGGGTGTCCATGGATCCGGATGGGTGTCTGTGGATCCAGATGGGTGATGGGTGTCTGTGGATCCAGATGGGCGTCCATGGATCCGATGGGTGTCCGTGGATCCTATTGGTGTCCACAGATCCGATGGGTGTCTGTGGATCCGATGAGGGTCATGGATCCGGATGGGGGTCCATGGATCCAGATGGGTGTCCACAGATCTGATGGGTGTCCATGGATCTGATGGGTGCCAGTGGATCCCATGAGTGTCCATGGATATGGATGGGTGTCCATAGATCCGATGGGTGTCCATGGATCTGGTGGGTGTCCATGGATACAAATGGGTGTCCACAGATCTGATGGGTGTCCGTGGATCCGATGGGTGTCCGTGGATCCTATTGGTGTCCACAGATCCGATGGGTGTCTGTGGATCCGATGAGTGTCATGGATACGGATGGGGGTCCATGGATCCAGATGGGTGTCCACAGATCTGATGGGTGTCCATGGATCTGATGGGTGCCAGTGGATCCCATGAGTGTCCATGGATATGGATGGGGGTCCAAGGACCCGAT